CAGTAAACGCCATCTGTAGCACGATGCTACATTTTAGGATTACGTATTCTCCAACAAGGTCCACTTGTGTGGATATCTACTTGCTGAAAACGAATCCCGGCGTAGCCAACCTCAACGTGATAGGTACGTTAGCCTAATCGAATAAAATAATTCGAAGTGGTTTGTATTCTGTCGAAACTGCCAGACACGGATCGCGATTTCGGTCTTTTTGGATCTCATCAGCGCGTCGCAGGCAGCTCCGTCAGAAGACCAACTTTTACCTGCTGTCTTAACATTGCCTTTTCGAAAATACTACAAATGGCGCAGTAAACGCCATCTGTAGCACGATGCTACATTTTAGGACTACGTATACAGACCACTTCGAATTATTTTATTAATTAAACATGTTTAATCATAGTATATTCAGTATACATAGTTACATTAGTTCGACGGATCGTTAACCGTGTAGGTCGGTTGGTCATTGTTGCTGTTGTCACCTCTCGTAGTTTTTAGTGGTCAGAACATTGGTGCGTAATAGCCAAAGGTCCCGGGTTCGATTCCCGGCGGGGGTGTGACAACAGCAACAATTTTTCCCTCATTAATTTGAGGTAGCGTGTAATTTTCAAATTAATATTTCATGTTAACCACTAGGAATTTCAATGTGATTCAAATAGTATTTGATATATATACATTAGTATTGTATTATACATTATACATTAGTATACATTAGTTCGACGGATTTGTGACCTAATAAGTGTGACAGCAGCAAAATTTTTTTCCTTATTAATTTGTGGTAACTTATAACGGATAAAAATTGTGAATGAATTTTCAAATTAATATTTAATATTAACCACTAGGAATTTCAATGTATTTCATTTAAACCTCATGAAATTATTTAGAGACTTATGTTCAAAAGAATTCGCCAAATATAAAAATATACTTTTCATCCCCTTAGTTTATGTATGTGACGTAAAAAATCAGAGTCAATAAGGTTTGTAAGGTTTTATTTTTAGTTCAGAACCGACACGGTTCTACAACCCTTATTGGCTCTCATTCTGTTATACGCCAGCATTTAAAATTTTTTTGTTTGTTATCTACTCTTTCTGTAATATACGTAGTACGTATCATCATCATAAGGCTGTCAGTCCTAAGACTGGTTGGGGACGTATCTCCACTCTTTCCTATCGTAAGCTAATCTTCGCATTTCCCTAAAACTAGAACAACCCACATCCTTAACTATTTACGAACAGTAATCTAATCTATGTTTACCTCTACTCCTCCTAACTCCCGTTTCTGCCTCTAATATGTCTCTGACCAGACCTTTATGCCTGAAAAGGTGTCCTACCAACCCATCTCGCCTATTTCTTATTGACTTCCATAGAGTCTTTTGTTCTCCTATTATTTCTAATACCTCTTCATTTCTAATCTTCTCTATCCGCGGTATCCTTATCATTCGCTTGTAACATCACGTTTCGGACGTTTCTAACCTTTCTTTTCTGCCGCGCTCACCGTCCATGTTTCGCACCCGTACAGTGTCGCGCTCCAAACATGCACCTTTAACAATCTTTTTCGAGTTTCTAAATTAATCGTTCGCGAGCATAGAAGTGACTTCTTTTAATCGACCCTGTACAATCCTCTGCTTTATATTCCTACTACTCCTTCCGTCCTGACTTATCTGACTTCCTCGATATCTAAAATTAGCCACTTTTTCGTCTCCTATCTTTATATTCGCTCTTTCCCTACTTTTTCTTCCTTTGCACACCAGCGTTTTTCTTTTACTTTTATTTATTTTCATACAATACTGGTTGGTCAGTATCGCTTCCAGTTTATTTAGAGCTATTTCTAACTCCTCCTTGCTAGATACTAATACTGCTATATCATACTAATCATTTGCCTCTGTATATTTATCCTTACAATTATACTGTCTAATGATGTTGATCGCATCTTCGATGTATAGTACGTATCACTAAGAAATAAATAAATAAATGAATTATTATATTGTTCTTCCTTTTCTTAATACAGTTAACAAATACTCATTTTTTTTACGAAGGTATAAAACTGTTCTATTTTTGCTTGGAACTCCTTTTAAAAATTTATAAAACTGTTTGATTACTTTTATTGTTGCTTGCTTATTTCATTGGTTTTGTTTTGACATATACAAAAAATTTAATGTTTTCAGAGTAAATTATTCTAAAATAGTTTATTTAATAAAACTATCACAGGCGTACGCCGTTCGACCCTGCTGTGGTTGTTTCAGGTGGTTATATATAATAATACGTTTTCTTTTTTTTTTAGAGTTCATTATGACTGGAAAGCTCATAGTAGTTTGTGTAGTAGGTATGAACAACAATTTTTTATTCTAGCTGATATTTTAGGTGTAGAAGGTAATTTATAGAGAATTTGGGAAATAACATTTATTAGTGTTGCTTGATCGTAGTATATGCTAATCATTCTCACAATTTAGAAGCATAATACTGCACCTTAATAACAAATTGTTAATTAATATTATATGTATATGTACCTACATACTTACTGCTAGCTATCATTTAATAAAATCCTATATTTCGCCTTCAAAGTCACGAAAGTAAAGGCGAGATCAACATGCTCTTTACAACAATATAGAAAATAGAAGTAAACTCTAAGATATTTTTAAAAATAATTAAAAAAAATTAAAAGAACTATTTCCTTTAAAAAAATCGGTTGTCTGTAAAGTCGGTTTACGGACGATAGTTGAACGTGACAACGTCATAAGGAAATACTGATGGAATGGTTTCATTTTTCAAAAGAAAATTTTAATTTTGTTTGTTTGATAGATATTTTGTATGGATATAGAGAAGGAGGTAAATGGAAATGTATTATTGTATAGCAGCTGTCCACGCGGAC